GTCTCCGTGATTTTTCGAGGTGCGACACTCCCCTTGATTTTTCTCCAGCTCCTCAGTTAGCTGAGTCGCCTTTCCCTGGCTCACCTCCAAGTCCTCGATAGCCTTGTTCAGACGGGACTGCGTGAAAGCAAGGCCCCCCTGCAGCTTGGACAACTCAACGGCCGAGCAGCTTTCTTCGCTCAGGACCATCGTTGTGGTGAAGGTCTGCATCAGAGCGACCAAGTCCTCAGTCAGAACCTGCCTCCGCGTAGCCTGATCCGTGCTTAAGACCGCCTTCGCCTCCCCGACAAGAATGATGGGCGACCTGGCCCCATGAAAGTAGTCGGGGTGCTGGTGACAAGGAGCGATGGAGTAACCCTCCTCGGAAGAATCCGCTGATAGGTCAACCACGACCTCCACCTCTTGGACTCTGGCCCTCTTCGGGGCCCCTTGCGATGTGGGTGACTGGCTGCTGGGTGGAGAAGACGACGAACCTCGACCATCCTGGTCAGCGGAAGCTTGCCCGACCAGCTGGGCAACCCGCGTCTTCGGAGGAACAACAACCCTTGACGCGCGCAACTTTTTCACCCCGCTCCTCGATGGAAGACATGTTCCCTGCAAAACAAAGAAAGCTAGTCAATAAAAGATAGAGAGTATCAGATCGTGAGAGGGGCGAAGCGTCCACCACCTAGATAGCGAAGGGCATCCGCCTCCGAGGGACACTCGAGCAGGGCCTTTGTATTAATCAACCTCGGCATCTCGCGGACATTCCCCTGGCTGTCGAGGATGTACTGGCCGTCAGGGGTCACCAGCTTCGACGACGGCAAACTGCGCACGAACGAAACTATCTTCATGTAGCTGGCCATATCCTCTTCGTCAAGCGACCCCGCGCGTACGATGTACCGATCTGTTCCCCGAGAGAAGTGCTCCAGAGACCACTCCACGTGCACTCACGGCAGCATAACGACCTTGCAACGACCGTCCACGATCCGCTCCCCCTCAAAATATAAAGAGCCATCCCCTTCATGCGTGATCGGGCTGACTACGAAGAAACGACCCTTGAAGTCCCGGACAGAGTCCATATACGTTTTGAAAAGCATGTCCGGTTGCTTGAACGACACCCAGTCGTGTCGACCATTCACCGTCTGCCGCTGCAGATGGAAGATACGGAAGAATAACGGCAGCGTGACACCGACCTGGAGATAGCAGCATACGACCTTGAATTCCCGAATAAAAGCTAGGGCATTTGGATGCAACTACGACGGGGCCAACCTTAGCCAGTCGAAGAGGCCCAGGTGGAAGTCCGAGAATGGCAGCCTGAGCCTAGCCTCTTTGAAGTAGAATTCATACATCAGGAAGCGCATCCGCCCATATTTCGAGCAGATTCGGTGGCCCGGCCGGGGACGATAAACTTGCCAATTCTGGGGATCTCCTTCTCGTCGGTCTTCCACGGTGGCATAGGCCCCTGTCGAGTCAGAAGCAAAGCAGGAGGGCGTAAACAGAGGTTCCTCGGCCACCCAAACCTCGAGCGGAAGGACGCGCTCGTCAAAATGTGGAACGTCCGATTCATTATCCACGACCATTGTGCCCAGGACAAACGTAGTCATTAACACCTGAAAAGCAGAAGGTAACGGTGAATTCGATAACAAAGATCAAATTCACCCTTCTACCGCAAGTCAAGTGAAAGGGAGACGAGGACACACCGAGCATCGTCCCCGGTGGCTCTACCCGAAACATACCACCTCCCCGGGGGACCAGCGTAACCTAACCTACAAACTCTCCCCGGGGGCGTTCATCGGAATTGACGTCGCTCCCTGGGACGTTCATCAGATTAAGCGTCTTTCCCCGGGGCATTCATCGGAACAAGCATCCGTCCCTGGGGCATTCATCGGAATTATCATCTCTCCTCGGGACGCTCACGGTAAAACCCTAGAAAATCCCCCTACAACGGCCGATATCTTCACCTCTCCTCGGGGAATTCAAACTGCCCCGACCACAGTCCTAAAACAAACAGGAAAAAGGAAAAGAAAGGAGAAAGAAAACTTACTGTGATTCGATCTGCGGCGGAGTACGTGGCGGCTCCGGCGGCGGAGAAATCAGACGGCGACGAGATGACAAAGCAGAGAATTTAAGAGCAAGAGGGCGAAAAGTGGAGAATGAGCGGGGGCTCGCTTACTTATACCCTAACACGAGACTCGAAGCGTCGCTAGGCACTCGAGTACCCTATGGTAGCCGCCCTAGCAGCCACCCAGCGCGTGACACGTGGCAAAGGCTGACAGTCGTGTCCCCTCACATTTCCTCGCCAACACGTGTCCTCAAGCCCGGGCAACCGACGACGAGGAAGGACGCACGTAGTTACGTCCTCGCGGAACACGAGCTGGAGGGTTTTCCTCCTCAGGCCAACCCCTCCTCGCCGACACAACGTCATCAAGTCCTCACTCCCTTCCTCAGAGCTACGACTTGAGGGGCTCCTGTTCTGGCTTGGGCCCCGGCTTGGCCAGGCAGGCCCAACCCAATAATTTTTTGCCAAGCCCAGTCCAGCTTGGGCCGCAGCTTCAGGCACAGGGTCGTCGACGAGCAGGAAATGTCCCTCCGCGGGCAGAACCTGCCTCAGTTGCGTCGGGAACAAGACTTCCCCATCGACCAAACACTGCCCTCTCCGCGGGCAGAACCTGCTCCTCTGTCGGGCAGGACAACGTGTCCTTCACACGTTCTCCACGTGCTCTCCTCCGCAGGGACACGTCACCGACCAACTGCCCACCTCTAGAAGAGCAGGTCAAACCCACTTTCCGGAGATCACAGGACAGTTGGACTAGGGCGAAGACCACGTCCTGGTCTCCACTACACCACATAAGCCCTAACAGTCACCTGGATTGGGCCTGGCCATCCAGCCCAACACAAGTGACCGTTGGCCCAGCGCTGGGGTCTCTCTATAAATACCCTCTTTCACAAGAGGGTCAGGTAATTCATTCTTTACCCCCTTTCTGCATTTGCTTTCACTCTGCCCAATTCCTTACTTTGGCATCGAAGTGTCTTGCAGGTACACCTCCATCCTCATCTTCATCACCGGTGAACAGGCAGCAGCCCAACAGAGTGTTGCCAGCTATTGACCCCCTTCTGGTCAGGTCAGATCATAAATCAAGATTTTATTCTTTATATATTTAAATTAAAATAATGTACTTTTATAATAAATGAAGTTTCTGATTAATGAAATATTAAAATTATAATAAAAATCTTAAATAATATTAATGATAATAATTATTCCCTCCGTTTTTTATTATAAGTCGTTTTTGACTTTTCACGCATATTAAGAAATGTAATATTTATGTTATGGAAAAGAGAAATTATAAATGATTTTACAAAATTATCCTTCATTAATGATATTGGAAAGACAAATATACATAATTGAAAGGAGAGAAAATAATAAATATTTAAAGGTATAATAAAAAAATAACATTAATGATTTATTGATATTATAAAACAACTTATGTTATGTACAAAATATTTTTTCAAAGTGATTTATAATTAAAAAAACAGAGATAGTATAATAAAATGGGATTTGGATCCTCTCCTTTTTTATATATCATGCCATCTCTCATGTTTCTAATCTAACAGTTCAAAATTTATAATGAATAATTAAATAAAAAACAAAGACAAATTACTTATTCATTTCTCTCTCCTATTAAATGACTTTTTTTATTTAATTATTCATTATAATTTCTGAACCGTTAGATTAGAACATGAGAGATGACATGATATATAAAAAAGGAAAGGATCCAAATCCAATAAGATGAATACTATTATACTCTATCGGGTATAATTAATATCCTTCACTCAATTATCATATGTCGCGTCATTTTAAAGTGCACAATAATTTTAATTAATTTAACTTGGTACTAACAATTACAACACATTTTTCATATACATTGGTCAGAGATTGAATCTTGTACTCAATAGTTAAGAATCAAACTTAAAAAGAACAAAATATCTATCATATCTTTTACTAGATGTGCCCCATAATATTGATTTTTATAAGGTAATTTCATTAAATTTATAAACAATCAAACTTGGAAAGAACTAAAAAATCACTATATCTCTTTTCAAACATACATTTATTAATTGTAATTCACTTTTTACTTTTTATCTCATACTATTATATTTTTGGTCAAATAAAATAAAATTCAAAAAACAAGCCTAATAATCCATATCGATAAAATAAAATTCAAAAAACAAGCCTAATAATCCATATCGATAAAACTAAATTTTGTTTTCAAATAATAACATCTAATTTGTGTAAAATTAACACTAGTAATTATTTAAAATTCATTGGTACACAAAATAAATTTTACTTATATTTTATTCGCAATGAAATATCTTATATAATACTTTTTATTTTATCATTTTTCGAGAATGAATATAATTCCTTCCATCCAAACTCTCAAATAAAATCTTTAAAAGTACTTATAATATTTATGAGATAGTATATATCATGAAAACCACAACAAAAACAATGGGTAAGCACACAATCTCTAGTTACCAAATTCTCTCAAAAAGGAAATAAAATCAAGACAAATATTTGATAAAGAAAAACTTGGGACAGAGCAAAAAAGTTTTTTGTGGAGTTTTATATAACTTTTTTATTATTTACTCACATTTAGATCATGAGAAATACCATTTTTTCTAATTTTTCATTTTCATTTTTACATCACTATAAACAATATACTTTTATTTCCTTAATTATCTCCCACATTTTTATCCTTTTATTACCAACTACAAAAGGCATACCTTCTATATCTTGGTGTGATGGTTTCTAAAATTACAAATTTACCATATTCTTTTAATCTAAATTACTAATCTAATTATTGGGTCACATTTAAAATAGCCCAATACTTTTACAAATCAATCTCCTAATTACCAAGCCGACCAATTATCTTTACCAATTCCTTTGACCAATTAATTAATAAATACCCCCTCGAAGATAGTTCTAATAGTATTCATATTTTTCTCTTTATCAAACCACCATGAAATTGAGTTGCAATGGTTGTCGTGTTCTTCGTAAAGGCTGCACTGAAGATTGCATCATCAAGCCTTGCCTTGAGTGGATTAGCTCTCCTGAATCTCAAGGCAACGCCACCCTCTTCCTTGCCAAATTCTTTGGCCGAACGGGCTTGCTAAACCTTCTTGCCAATGCTTCCTATCAAAATGCCCCAGGTACCAATCTATTTATAATCTCTATCATATATTTAAATGAACTAAATGTTAGTTTGTTAGTGAAGGTTTGAGATTTGACGTGTATTTCTTTAAAAATTTTAAATTTAAATATCGCTAAATAGTAATAGTCTTTGTGTTAGGTCAAACTATACAAAATTTTGCTCTATTTTTAAATGAATCTCTGCCCGTAAATAGTGGGGTTTATCTTCTTTGGTTAGTCCAGTGATTGTGTTTGCATATAATGTTTAATTTTCAATCCATCTTCAATCTTTTCATAGATTATACATTGATTCCAATATATATGCCTTTTAATTGATAACAATAATTTAATTTAATTTTTATATTTTTTTTTGCACACATTTCAGCTGTTTTTAGATCACTATTGTATGAGGCTTCAGGTAGATTGGTAAATCCAACATATGGAGCTCTAGGTTTATTTTGGACAGGAGAATGGGGCCGATGTGAAGCTGCAGTTGAAGCCGTGCTAACTGGATCAGACATTAACAATGTTATAGCTGTTGAGGAAAAAATATCATCAACTACACCTATGGCTGAAAATTATGTTCTTTCAATCCCAACAACCTATGATATACGCCACGTGGCAAAAGGCACAAATGTGGACATTAAAGAGAAAACTCAATTCAAGAGAAGTGCACAAGTTTTCAAAACAAAGCGACAAGTTGGTTCTATCGACTCAGAAACACTTTTGAAATCTTTTTTAGAAAATACTAATATGAAAACTATAAAGGCTCCGTTGGTGAATCAGATTGAACCGAATGAAGTCGTTGATACTCATGTAAACTTAGAGCTCAGTCTCGGGTTCAATGGCAAATCAAATCAAACAAAAGAGAAAAAATAGATTTTTATTTCTTTGTAATTTAGTTGTTTTTTTTCTTATACAATATAATTTGGGTTTTATTTGGGAGGTCCTTTTTAATTAGACAGCAGAATAAAGTATGTTGTTTGTTTGTATTCTTTAATTTGTGTTTTTTTTTTCAAATATGATGTGCAATATTATTATTATTTTTTTCTATTTTCATATTTCAATAATATCAAAATCAATAACTTAGAAAGTAGAATGAAATCATGAAAAGTTCACTCCAACATTTCATTACTTCAGTATTTCAGTCAAAAAGAACAAAAATATATTCACTAAAGTATAAAACAATTTTACAAAATATTTATAAACTTTTTTAAAAATAATCTCATCGAAAGAAAGAATATGTTAAAAGAATGTTTTTGTATAAACCATGAGATTTGAACGGACATATATTAGTCCAACTCAAATTAATTTATATTGAAATTATGAATAAATTTTACTAATTAATATTATTTTATTATTGAACTTTTTTTAATAAATAAAAATGATTCAAACACAGAAGAAAAAATAAATACAAAGATATACTAACATTCTTGATAAATTATTAAAGAATAAACTGATTTACAAGGCAGAATCTTAATATGGATATGAAAATCATTAAAGGATGTACAAAATCATAATATATTAAGCATTTTTCACTTATTAAGAAAATATAATAAAAAATAAATTATAAAATCATTTTTATTAGTTATTTTTGTATTTTTACTATTATAAATATATAATATAAAATAATAGCTACTAATAACCAGTAAAATATTTGTGCGCACACGAGTACGAATGATAACACATGACTGCGATTTAAAAAAAAAAACAGTACATTACATAAAAATAATATATATATATATATATATATATATATATATATATATATATATATATATATATATATATATATATATATATATATATATATATATATATATATATATATATATATATATATATATATATATATATTATTAGACAGACATACTAATGATTTTTTGTTTGAAATTTTTATAAAATATGAAAGTTATAAAAGAATAATTTCTAATTAAACAGACACACTAATGATTATTTTACCATTGTTTTTAAAAGCTAAAATCAATACATTAATATTAGAGTTAATCTTTCACCGATGATCAATTCAATTGCATGGCCGATCTAACACGACATGAGGCTTAAAGTGGACTTTGAATTGAGGTTTTTTATAATTTAATAAAAAAGTTAAATTAAATTTTTATAATATTTTTTTAAAATTTATTTTTTAAGTTTTTTAAGATGCAAAATTATTTATTAAACTATTATAATTAATTTTAACTAACATTTTTTACAATTGATAATAAAGTCAATCCATTTAATCTTTATCGAGACATTGTTGTTCTTAGATAAAATTTTATTAATTTTAATTTTGAAAATTTTCTTACTCCTGAAGCAACAGTTACATAAACTGTTAACATTATTCTATAAGCAAATAATTTATTTGGGAAGGAGTTCAGTCGTATTATATAATTTTTGTGATGAAAGTCTTATTATATAATTAAGTATATTAATTGGTGTATTATTTTTTACATTTATGATTTCTTTTAATATTTTCAATTTTAAAAATTGTTAGAATTAAATCAAAAATAGTAAACCAAATATACATGGTTAATAAAGTGTGGAAGCCGGATACTCATACAAGCATGTATAATATTAAAAGACCTACAAATTGATTTAGAAATACATGAATCCATTGAGAAAAATCTCTTTAATGATAACCCTAAAATCCAAGAGTTGATGACTTTTGTGGTTCTTCCTTAACCGGTACTCCTTATGCCTCTGAATTCTCTTCTGATGCTCTTCCGATGGGGGATAAGAGGTTATTTGCTTGTGTACGGTATATTTGGGACCATAGCCTATATATGGTGTGATTGCCAATTAGAGTTTCTATTATTCCCAAATGGGTCATCCTAACACCCAGTCATATTTCAGTTCATACCCAATTATTTAATTAATTAATTAAATAATTCCCAAATAAAAATCTAAATAGCATTTTAACATTATTTGATCACATAATTATTTAAGACACTTTATTTGATAAAATAACTAATATAGTTAAATAAATATATTTGCCCACGTAATTATTGAAATATTAATATATTACTAAATTATTAAAATATTCCAACAATCTCCCACTTGGCCAATATATCTTAATAATTATATCATAATTCTTTAGGCGTGCATCCGAATTCTATTTATCTTTAGATTTCAACTTTACAATATGGTCTACCTCATACATCAATAATGGAATCACCGCGGCTGTCGTCACTAATGTATAACGTGACGGAACCCCGACGACCACCACATCAACATACTTGATGACATATATCGATATGGATGAGTGACATGGAAGTTTCATACAATGTGATCTCTAAATCATGCATATTTCTAACTGGTCCTATTGAAGTCTTAAGTGAGATCAAATTGAAGTTCCTTTGGTGCAATTCAAAATTACAATATTCGCACATAACAAAAAAAACTTGATATTGTTATAACAATAGTACCTCATGAGTTTTTATTTATGTAGAAAATTAAACATAACATAAAGTTTGTACCAAAATAAAACCAAAGCATTGAACATAAAAAATTAAGGGAAAAAAACTCCCACTAATCTAAGGCAATCTTAAAACCAAGACCCATATGAGCAACATGCCCATGAAAAGCCTTAGGTGCTAAACCTTTGGTTAGTGGATCAGCTAGCATTAAGTTTGTCCATATATGTTCTATCAAAATTTATATCTCCTGAACTCTCTATTTTCACAACAAGATACTTAATATCAATAAATTTTGATTTTGTAGAACTCATATTGTTGTTGGAGTAGAGCACAACTGCACTATTATCACAATAAACCTTAAAGGGCCTTTAAATGCTCCCAATGATGCGTAGGTTTGTGACAAAGTTTCGCAATCAAATTGCATGATTTGATGCCTCAAAGCAAGCCACAAACTCTGCTTCCATGATGGAAGGAGCCACTAAAGTTTGTTTGGAAGACTTCTAGGAGACGGATCCTCTAGCCAAGAGAAAGATGTAACCAGACATGGAACGTCTGCTATCTGGGCATCCGGCAAAATCTGAGTTAGAATACCTAATGATCTCCAAGTTATATGACTTTCGATAAGTGAGCATGAATTCTCTTGTTCTCTTTAGGTAGCGCATTACACGCTTTACTTCTATCCAGTGTTGCATATCAGAGTTTCTTAGATATCTGCCAAGAACTCCTACAATGAATGCTAAGTCAAGACAGGTGCAAACTTGAGCATACATAAGACTTCCCACAGCTGAAGCATATGGAACCTCATGCATCTCTTCCTTTTTAAGACCCGTAGTGGGGCACAATTTGAGATAAAACTTGACTTCTTTAGCTACGGGTGTGTCTCTTGCTTTACTATCTTTCATGGAGAATCTATCCAGAACTGTGTTAACATATCTCCTTTGTGATAATCCTAAAATACCTCGAGAACAGTTACTAAGTATTTGAAATCCTAAGATAAATGAGGCGTCCTCAAGATCTTTCATCTCAAATTTATTTGTGAGAAATTTCTTGGTTTCGTGCAATGAGCCTATATTGTTGCTTGCTAAAAGGATATCATCTGCATATATTACCAAGAAAATGAATTTACTCCCACTGAACTTTTGGTATACATAATTATCAATCAGATTAGCCTCAAAACCAAATAACGATATTACTTGATGAAATTTCTAATACCATTGACGGGTAGCCTGTTTAAGGCCATAGATGGATTTCTTGAGTTTGTAAACCATAAACTTTGGGTCTCTTGACACAAAGTTTTTTAGTTGCGTGATATATATTGTCTCTTTAATGTTTCCATTTAGAAACATAGTCTTTACATCCATCTGATGTAATTCTAAATCAAAATAAGCTAGAAATGCCATCATGATCCTAAGAGAGTCCTTCGAAAAAACTAGAGAAAAAGTCTCTTTATAATTAATTCCTTCTTTTTGAGTAAAGCCTTTTGCGAAAAGGCAAGGTTTATATCTCTTAATATTATCCTTTGAATCACTTTTGGTTTTAAATATCCATTTACAACTAATGGGTTTCTTTCCTTCAGGTAACTTAACGAGATCCCAAACATCATTTTTAGCCATTGACTTCATCTCATCCTTCATGGCATCAACCCACTTAAGAGAGTTTGGACTCCGTATACCTTGACTAATGTTGATAGGATCTTCAGTCAAACCAATGTCATCCTTACATTCCTGAAGAAATACAACATAATCATATGAAATTGCATTCTTCCTCTCTCTAGTGGATCTTTTTAATGGCGACTCTTGAGGTTTTTGAGTTTGAACTATAGGTGGTGCTTGAGGAAGAAACTCAGTATTGTCTTGTTCTTGAGGGATGTTAGGAATAACATCATTGTATATTTCAAGATCTGTTTCTAGAACAAAGATAGGTACAAAGACTTAATCATTGTGAGAAACAATTTCTTCATCACAAGCAACACGCCTTATGCTTCCTTCCTTTCGAAGCTCTACACCCTTAAGGAATCTTACATTTCCCGTTTCAAAAGTTGTTATAGTGATGCGATTGTAAAACTTATACCCGTAAGAGCATTCATCGTATCCAATAAAATAACAACTAATTGTCTTTGTATCCAACTTATCTTCGTGGGGCCTATAAGGCCTCGCTTCAGCTGGACATCCTCAAATGTGCAGGTGAGTAATGCTGGGTTTTTTCCCATTCTAGAGCTCATAAGAGGACTTAGCTACTACCTTACTAGGTACTCTACTAAGGATATAAATTACGGTCTTTAATGCTTCTCTCCAAAATGACTCTGGAATAGAAGGATGACTAATCATACTCCTTACCATGTCCTTAAGAGTCCGGGTTCTTTGTTTTGCAACTCCATTCATGCTGGGTTTTCCTGGCATTGTATATTGCAGAACAATTCCACACTTATCAAGGAAAAGCGCAAAGCACCCTAGATCTTATTCC